AGAGAAGAGAGATTCCTACCAGATTTAGTGATGGGAGAGGAAAGCACATTTTTAAGGTCCCTAGTGATTTTAAAGCAGTCTGAGTTTTGAAGCCCCCTTGCTGGTCAAATTAGGTTATACAGTATTACCCAAAACCCTTTGCAACATTCGCTTCCAGGCAGATGCTGCCCAAGTTAGGAAACTGTGTCATCCCATGAAGGGGTTAGAGAGGGGCTCAGCACATGCAAAGTGAGCTGGAACCAGTTCTTTTTCCTTTTCTTTTTTTTTTTAAATTCTGGCTCCCAGATATGGTTAAACGTGTGGGAATTTTGCCAGCCCACGCTGCAAGCTTAAAATCAGCCAGGGTGGGAGTGTTTACACCACCGAAATTGGCAGATGGTGTCATCCAGGATCTTTGTTTTTCTCCCCTTGGAGCAGGTTCCCAGCACACACCTGGCTCCTAGCCTCCTACACTGGACGCTGCGGAAACAGGCCCTCAGATTTCAGGAGGGTCCCTGAGATATTCACGGTAGCCAGATAACTGAAAAAGAATTTGGAGCCATAAAATTCTCTCCAAGAAAGGACTGTGGGTTTTTTGGTTTTTGTTGTTCAATCAGCTTAGAGGAGTTGGGCTAGCGGGCATCCATAAAGTTCTCCTGGGACAGGACTCCACTGAGCAGATAAGAATAATATCATTAGTGTGTCATTTATTTGGCTGTAAAGAGGAAGGTGGAATCCTTATCTCACGTTTACTTAACAGTCTTCCTATAATCTTGATTCTTGTGATGTCATCCATCCAGAACTCCTCCCTCAAAGGTACAAGGGCAGGCTTCTGGTCAGTTCTGCCTGACTTCTTCCAGCTGCAGAACCTCAGATCTTCTAGAAACCTCAGGCTCTTCCCTGCAGACAGGCAGGGTGAGGGCACCCGCTGCAGGAGTGATGTTGGCACTGGCTGTCTTCCACAATGCTGAGAGGGTTTCATCACCTCCAGCGTGTGAGCTAGTTTATAATTGTGTAAGAGAGGTGGCATCTAGCTATTTTCAAGCCTGTTTCTTAACACTCCCCAAATGCATGACTGGGGAGTGTTTGCTTCCTTAATTTCAGCACTCTGCGAGGGGTGATGGAGGCCTCTGGAATTCATGGATCCAGGCTCAAATCCTGGCTGGAGCATGTATCAAACTATTGAGGGAGAAGAGTTAGCAAAATTCTGCCAGCTTTCCTGTCAACCATAGCATCTGTGCAGACTCCCTAAAGTGCATACAGGAAGACTCCAAAAAGACACAGAAAGGGTCACTGGAGGTCTCAGTGTGACAGTTTTTCCTGGGGAGACACTACATATGTCTATTCACTCCAGACAGGAAGCCCACGACAGACCAAAGTCCAACTTGGTGCACCAAGGAGTTTTATTGGGGTTACTTAGGAGTCTGGGTGAGGGATTGCTCACAGGAGCGGAAACAACTCAATGACAGCTCAATGACATTGCCAAGGCCCACACCAGCACGGTGACAGCTCACGAAAGCTGGGAACCTGGAGCACACTGCACAGCTGCGGGCGGCTCAACAGCGTGAAGAGTGTCCTTTCTAGAAACTCAGTTTGCCCATACCTCTCCCACGCAGCTAGCATGGTTTCTGCTTCTTCCTGGCAGCTGGTCTCCACTCAAGAGTCTTCTTTGCAGCTTGTCTTGTCTGAAAGTGCCTCTCAGCTTTTATTGCATACTCTGGAAAGGGAGCCAGTGAATCTGCTCAGTTTCAGGAACTTCCTGACACTATTTTGAGTTGCTTCCCCTTTCTGTTTAAGGAGCTTCCTTAAACAGGGTGCAATGGAGGAAACTGTTACACAACACATGTCTAGTTCTCTTGAGTGGCATCAGATGGGTATCAGTGTTCCACAGCTTGCTAACAACTGAAGGTGCATAGTACCCGGTGAGTGGGCAAGGGGCTAGTTCTATTTACGATGTCCCTTCTCCCTCCTTAAAACTGCAAACCCTTCATTTCTGAAGTGTTGTGCAATCTCTGCCCTCTAGAGACTCACATCTTCTCCCAGGAGCTGGCCTCCATGCCTAGGGTATGGAGTTATGCAACACAGATGCCCTGGAGCCTACTGAGTAGCTGGACAAGGTTTCTTGTAGGATACTGAATATAGGTGCATTGTTCCCTGGGTGTCTTGGGGTTTGGTCAATAATTTTTCTGTCACTTCTCCAAAGAGAGACAGCTGTAGGGCTTGTGTTGTGCAAGTTTCTGTGGAGCCAGGACCTAGCTGAAGCCACTAGAAGCTGTGTTAGAAATGGGGTGGCAAACAGCAGCTTCCAGTGTACTTGCAGTGAGCATGGCTATCTGCTGGTTATCCCCATTCCTGGTTGTCAGACTGTAACCATGGAACAAAGAAACCTTGGTGCTTTATCTCTAGGGCCCTGGGAAATGTCCCAGGAACCTAATTCCAACTCTCAGGAGAAAAATGGTAACACAACCCCACACAGGTGCCAACCTGAACATAACAAAGCAATAGGAAGCCACAAGGCTGTCCACTTGCTGAATTCACGACTCCAACGGGGACTTAAGACGCTGTGCCCAGAGCCAGGATTGCAAGTTAGGACCACAGTGGCTCCAGCCTCCTTCTGGTCAACTGCTCTCAGAGAAACACCACCAATGGCATTCTCCCCCAGGAGGCATGCGTGAACACACACACACACACACACACACACACACACACACACACACCCCTCCCATGGAGTTTCATCGAGCCAAGGGGTCTTAATTGACTGGGAACAGAGGACTCAAGCCCAGGAGGCTTCCCAGGAATCGAGGGTGTAAACCCCATTCATCATTCATTCTCCTATCTCATTATCAGACTAGAAACCAACATTGGAATAAAAAGAAAGTCTGTGCAAACAGCCTGGAGGGGAATAATCCCAGCCTGCTGCTGGATTAGCAAACAGCAAAGAAGAAATTCCAGGAAGACCCCCTCCCCACCTCCACCCAGCAAATTAACAGCACAACTTTTATCAACAACGGTAGGAGTAAAGGGTGCCTCAGCAACAATCTATCCAGCCAGCTTTCTAGACCCTTCCAAGCCCCTGTCTGTGCCCACATCTGCAACCAGACCCAGGCCACATCAAAGGGCTGGTGGGAACAACAATTAAAAATGAAACTATTAAAGAGTCACCAGTGTCATGAAGAGAATCTTCCAGCCTGGCTCTTGGCGGGGAGACAGGGTGAGGACAAAAGGCAGCCTGTGCCTCACCTCTCTGTCTGGGTCCCTATTAATTGTTCTTTAAGAACATTAAAGCCTGGTGCCAGGACCTGGGGACAACAGGAAAGAAAATAAAGTCCACAGAGGCCTCGCTGGCATTTCTGCAGCCGGCCTCGGAGCCGGTCATTGTTCAGTGGGTAAACACACGAGACATAAAACAAATCACTTGGAAACCAGGTTGTTCACTTGATGGGTCCTCCCAGAACCAACTGTTCTCTCTTGGAGGGTAATTCCAGCAGGCATTTTACAGGACCTTCTAAAACTTTACATGTACCAGGCACCAATGCTCCCTGACTTCAGGGTGCCCCCCTCCCCCACCCCCAGTCCAAAAGGCACAGTAGGGAAGGAACCTTGAGAAGACCAGCTACTTCCAAGCCTCTCGCTCTAAAGGACTCGGCCTGCACCACCAGGGGAATACGAGTGTGCTCAGGGATCCCCGGGGCTTGCCCGGGTCTAGCTTCCTGGGCAGGGCAGACAAAGCTCTAGGTGGCCTGTTTTCCTGGATGATACGGTGTAACAGCTAAACGCTCCCCAGCACACTGAAATACAGCCGCTGTCCATCCAAGGATGCCAAAACGCTCTGCAAACCACCCATTATTTTTTATGGTGGCCTAGGAAGCAGTTTGAGAATCATTACCATTTTCACATGGCTCAGTACCAAAACCACCGGCAGGGCTGAGGTACCGGGTCTTCCCTTCACTCCACCTCGACCCACCATCTCACAGGAAACCCCGGCACAACAAGAGGGGACTCACGACTATCAGAAACGGCTTTTGTGGTGAGGAAAGCAAAAAAAAAAAAAAAAAAAAAAAAAAAAAA